ACAACGGGAAACTTACGGAAGCCTTCGAAGTGAGGACGGGAGTGAGGCAAGGCTGTCTACTATCACCAATGATCTTCCTGATTGCAATCGATTGGATAATGCGACAGACAACGGCAACCAACGAGGGAACAGGCATAAAATGGACTGACACAAAAGACTTGGAGGATCTGGATTTCGCCGATGATATATGTCTGATTTCCCATAAACTGGAAGATATGCAAATGAAAAGTAACAAGTTGGCAGAAGAAGCATCAAAGATAGGACTTCACGTGAACATAGATAAAACAGAGATGATGAAGATTCCTAGCCAACATCAACAGCAACAACAGACCACAATAAGCATAAATGGGAAGAACCTGAAAGAAACAACCTCCTTCACCTACCTGGGAAGCATCGTCTCAACTACAGGCGGAACTGACGAGGACATCAAAGCCAGAATCGGAAAAGCAAGACAAGCTTTCATTACTCTCAAATCTGTGTGGAGGTCAACAGCACTCAGCATCAAAAATAAGATCCGGATTTTCAACTCCAATGTGAAGTCAGTGCTACTATACGGATCAGAGACTTGGCGAGTCATAAAGAGCATCTCAAACAAACTTCAAACCTTCATTAACAACTGTCTCCGCTCAATACTCAAGATCAGATGGCCAGAAAAGATCAGCAACAGGGATCTCTGGGAGCGAACCAATCAGGAACCGATTGTGAAACAAATAGGCAGAAAGAAATGGAGATGGATTGGCCATACGCTGAGGAAACCAACAAGTGACATCACTAGACAAGCCCTCGAGTGGAACCCGAAAGGGAGGCGGCGAGTTGGTCGTCCAAGGGTGACTTGGAGGAGGTCATGTGAAGAGGAGATGAAAGCATGTGGGCAGACCTGGAGCAGGGTGAAAAAGTTGTCAAAAAACCGAAGTCAATGGAGGTGCGCAGCTGAAGCCCTATGTTCCTCTAGGAACTAAAGGATACAATAATAATAATAATAATAATCAGTCTTTAATGGCAATATGTGTGAAGTTCCTTTTCTAACGGAGGAAAGGCGTTACAGAATCCCTCTTCAACGATCCATTCACAAGATTTACACTCTATTTGGATGTTTTAGCTAACTTTGTAACGATTGTCGCCTTTTTCTCATAGACTGCGTGTCATCTTTCTAATGTTTGAATATTATTATTGCTTCCTTTAATTCCTAGAGGAATATAGGGCTTCAGCCGCACGTCTCCACTGCCTACGGTTCTCTGCCAACATATTCACCTGGTTCCAGGTCTGTCCACATTTTTTCATCTCCATATCACCCTTGCACTAACGACCAACTTTCGCTTCCCATTCGGGTTACACTTGAGTGATTGCCTGTCATGTGATGTCATTTGTTGGTTTACTCAAGGTATGGTCTGTCCACCTCCATTTTTTCCTGCATATTTGAAGCACAATCGGTCGACTTAATTCTTATAGTGTGTCTTTGTTTTCGTATAACCTCTAACTGAAATGCTTCTCTTTGTGGTTTTGCCGTACTTTGGCAGTGTGTCGTTTTACGACTACAATTTGGCTGAAACGAATCAGGATCATTCTGACTCTGAACTAGGTGCAGAAATTATTTGGTGAGTGATTTTTTGCTGATAAAATTTTGATGCCACCTTGTATGGAATATTCTACTTGACTGTAAGATACTACTTACTTTCGGATCTCGGTTAACTAGTTCTGTTCTACAGGACGTGTATTGTACTCGATGAACAATCACATCTATATAGCTGTTTAACAGCATTAGTGAGGTAATTTTGAGTTTTCATTGTGTTATTATTTCTAAATACTACCTGAAATTTTGTTGCAAATAACTGTCTTTTTTCTTTCCTTAAGGCAGTTTGTGACTATGAATAACCCAAGGAATTTTCGGTCAGTTTACACGGCTGAATGCAAAGAACGGTCTCTCACGTTCAGAACGTAAGCGTCTGTTTTTTTTGATGTGGTTTTGTTCTCTGAGCTGGATAGTTAGTTTGCGAAGCTTTCATCACCTTACTGGGTGACATCTTCAGCGCATACTTCAAATTGAAGTGAGCTTTTAGGTTTCTCCACGAGTTTATTAATCATTCCTCCTGGTGACCTTGAATGTGATAGGTTGTTTATGTATGTTTTCACACCTTCTAGGTTACTTGTGTTGGAACTGATTGTTTCTGTGACTTGAACTTTGGCCAATCGTGTGTGAAGTTTCTTTCTTATTGGTTGATAAATTTTGTCTATCTCGATGTGTCTATTGATTGATGATTCACTGGAATGCCAAGCTTCTAAAAATTCTCTAGCATTCTTGTTATTTCCTTTGTCTAATATTTGAACGTTGTCCCAGTCGAATTGATGTCCGTGGTTGTCTGTGTGTAGTGAAATGAGGGAGTGTATATCATGTCTTTTGACGGCTAGCTTATGTTCGTGGATACGAAGACGAAGGGGACGTCCACTTTGGCCAACGTAGTGTTTTTCACAGTTGTTACAGTTTATTTTGTAGATGATGTTGGTTTTGTCTTCTTTTGCTGTTGAGTCTTTTGGTTGACATAGAATTGAGTGCAGCGACTTTGTTGGTTTGTGTACGATGTCAATTCCTAAAGGTTTGAAGAGTCTTTTAGTGATTTCTGAGATATCCTTTATATATGGTAAGGCGATTTTCTTTGTGTTTTCCTTGGTGGCTTTTGTTTTGGTAGGTTGGCTTGGGGGTATATGTTTCTTGATGAAATTCCGGGGATATCCATTCTTTTGGAAGACGTCCATGAGATACTTTTCTTCAATTTTTCTTAAGGTGGGAGTGCTGCAGTGAGTCCTTGCTCTCTTGAATAGTGTTTGTATGCAGTTCCTTTTGTGTGCTATTGGGTTGTTGCTGTTGTAATTCAGTATTTGGTCTGTGTGAGTTGATTTCCTATAAACTTGAGTTTCTAATTCTCCTGTAGTTGTTCGCCTGACCTACAATAGCAACAACCCAATAGCACACAAAAGGAACTGCATACAAACACTATTCAAGAGAGCAAGGACTCACTGCAGCACTCCCACCTTAAGAAAAATTGAAGAAAAGTATCTCATGGACGTCTTCCAAAAGAATGGATATCCCCGGAATTTCATCAAGAAACATATACCCCCAAGCCAACCTACCAAAACAAAAGCCACCAAGGAAAACACAAAGAAAATCGCCTTACCATATATAAAGGATATCTCAGAAATCACTAAAAGACTCTTCAAACCTTTAGGAATTGACATCGTACACAAACCAACAAAGTCGCTGCACTCAATTCTATGTCAACCAAAAGACTCAACAGCAAAAGAAGACAAAACCAACATCATCTACAAAATAAACTGTAACAACTGTGAAAAACACTACATTGGCCAAAGTGGACGTCCCCTTCGTCTTCGTATCCACGAACATAAGCTAGCCGTCAAAAGACATGATATACACTCCCTCATTTCACTACACACAGACAACCACGGACATCAATTCGACTGGGACAACGTTCAAATATTAGACAAAGGAAATAACAAGAATGCTAGAGAATTTTTAGAAGCTTGGCATTCCAGTGAATCATCAATCAATAGACACATCGAGATAGACAAAATTTATCAACCAATAAGAAAGAAACTTCACACACGATTGGCCAAAGTTCAAGTCACAGAAACAATCAGTTCCAACACAAGTAACCTAGAAGGTGTGAAAACATACATAAACAACCTATCACATTCAAGGTCACCAGGAGGAATGATTAATAAACTCGTGGAGAAACCTAAAAGCTCACTTCAATTTGAAGTATGCGCTGAAGATGTCACCCAGTAAGGTGATGAAAGCTTCGCAAACTAACTATCCAGCTCAGAGAACAAAACCACATCAAAATTATCCACCTGAGCTACAAATCTTCTCTATCATATGTAAGCGTCTGTCAATGTAGTTGAAGATTGAACGATCAATTCATAGTTGTTTGCTCAAACCCAACTCCTCCATAGTTTTCGCGGGAGTCATCAATACAACAGTCATCGTTTCATCGTTCGCTGTTCAGGGGAAGATTTAAAACTATCAGAAGTATTATCATGATTTATTGTTATGACATATATTCTTAGACCTTGTGTAATAACCTTATTATTGGTTATATGTTGGCGTAAAATAAAGGATTCTTGAGTCGCTAGTCAGTGTTCCGGTTTTCGCGTTGGTTAATACAAAGTGTTTCTGAAAGTCTTCGAGGGACAGCGTGAGGTTCAGCGTAGCAAGAGCTAAACATTGACAGTTTATGAGACTTGGCTGACAGCGTCAGTTTTTGACATCATAACCAGTATACGAAAACAGCTACTGCTAATTATGCTTTTTGAGTTCAGTTTAAAATGAAACCTAAACTCCTAATTAGAATTAAACATTATGGAGTAATTATTCCTTCAAAGATGTAAACTGTGTTATACTATGCATTTAACCAATGAGTACACATTTTAAAACAGACACACATGATCCTTACACACTACATCTTAAATAGGTATTTAGGAGTCAAATAGTCTATTAAAATGGGATCGATTCTGCCAGTGTAACCGTAAATGGCCACTTTGCAAAACAACTAATTATTAATAATTATGAGAATGTTCCCCATAAAGTACACCTGAATTGAGATTATTCACAAAATGAATATTATACACATGTTTACATATACAATGGAGGACATCGGTGCTTTGACTGTAGAAAGCTCTCCAACCATACCTCAAGTATTCCAGAGTTTAAAACCCAACCGACTCACTGCTAAAATCTCGCTTGGACAGTATCAAATGCGGTAGAGATTGATGGTTTGGAGTGAGGCTAACAACCCTACCCTGTAAAAATAACACCTCTTCTCCTGGAACGTCAAAGCTTAAAGCCCTATGTAGAATTTGGAACACAGAAGAATACAAATTAAGTAATAACACGATGAAATCACTTCTGACTTCTAAATACATAAATTCCCTTGAAAATGTCTAAATTCTTTGAATAAAAGCATTTCAGAAATACGCTTGTAACTTACATCAAAATATAACCAAAATATGAATGTCAAATGAGCAAGTACATACAGTACACAGAAAGACACGAATACATCTCGTTCAATTCTCATCATTAATCTGCGTTTTTGCTGTTCATGATTTTTTGACTGTAAGGCTAATGCAATCCATGTTTGTTGACTCAATTGTTGTGATAATCTGGACGATTTCCCAGCATCACTGGATCCTTCATTCTCCAGAGAAACAGCTAAATTGCTACTTGTTGCTGGTTTCTTCTACAAGGTTTAGAAAAAGGAAATACTTTGCTCACCAGTAGCAGTAGACCACAAGAAACAGGGTGAATTTGATTTAAAGAACAATATAAAAGCAGGGATAATTGAATGGCTGATCTTTTCACGGGTTATGATTGTTAACCTTACACCTAACCTTCCCTCTTTGCCAGCCTTACCACAGGTTTATTGATTTTACAGAATGTCTAATGACAATTGGGTAAAACTACACAATCCTCCTGTAACTCTGAACACTACCAGATGTTGTACGCCTTCCATTACACTGAAAAAAAAAATATATATCGTTTATGGCTCATTTGATTTTAGTCAGTTGTTTGGGGACTAATTTATTACCAACATTAGTATAATATGAAGCTTCCCTACAGAAGCTACTCAATGCAATTTACCTTAGCTATCTGTGAATCTCTGATACTACCATAGTGCAAACGAATATCGTTTATAGGAAATTGTTTTCAGATGAATAATTTTTGAGTTCACTTTTTAAGCACAAGTGGAAGTGTACTCAAAACACATCTCATAAACTGATACATATCAATTTCTAGTGATTTTTTATCAGGCCAATAAGTTTCTAAACCATTTAAGATTGAAATTACTCAACAAAAAATAAATATTAAACCCTTTACTATTGTATATTATGGATATTCTATGAAGGACTTTAGTGGTACAGCAGTAAAATACTCGCCTACTACGCCTCAAACGGTGCGATGTTTGGATCTCTGCTGACATACTTCTAAACCTCTCTGGGTTGGTAGTTGGCACGTTAAAGAGAAAAGCTTGAACATGAAGTTAGCTACGCCACTACATAAAATAAAGCCACTTCTACCGAAACTTCAAAGCTGTAACATCAAGTTCCATGTTTCACTCATAAAATAAAGGAATAAAATAATGATAATCTTTGGTTGATATCTTTAAATTCTAAACGACACCCAGGGATTTCTTCAGACATATTCTGACTGTGTAAAGCGTTTCATTCGATTCAATGAAATGTCGTAATTTCATCGACTGGTTAGAAATGTTTGGTACGCACTTTATATTTTATCTGACATCTGTTTGTGTATTAGTAGCATCACTAGAGATTAAGACGACCTCAAAGAGATTCATACTCATTCATTGACTAAAAGAGGGGAGAGAAAGCTGCATAACGCTCTGGCTCTTAAATTGAGCTCTTCAATTGTATCACTTTTAAAGTAAAGGAGACTGAATAACAAAGTGAAATACAATTTCATTAATTGAATAGCGATTGTTAATTGGTCAATTCAGCCTGCAGAGATTATTTTGGCATCCATTAATAAAAAGATGTAAGAAAACTAATTTTACAAAGCTCCGTTTAACTTCTTATAAATAGATAGTTAACAATAAGGGCGATGAATTTGGGGTAATTCTTCAACATGGCTGAAGACAAGGTATATGTATATATATATGTATATACTCAAAACACAATATTCAGCGAAGAGACTCTTATCAACGAATTTATTAATAAACTGCTGGCTGGTTTGGTTGTGGTGAAGCTCAAAAACTCTCAATTTAGTCAAATAATCGGTTGCTTTGAAATTTATTGAAGATACCTAGATGAAAATTTCGTTATCAACAATAAAAACGTATACTTGATGATACCCTGTTTGCATTCAACGACTACCATTCTTCTATGCAATTTACCGTAGAAAAGGAATCTGAACTGAACACCCCTTCTTTTGATGTGTGCCTTCAAAAAATTTATCCATTTGAAGCGTTCACGAAGTAGACAACTAACAAATTTTGTAGCTGAGTTCCTATCTCCAGGAAAAGTAATTTAACTCACTCGCTGCGCCCATTTTTGTAACTTACTGTTCCCAAAGACAGACTTTCTTAAAACGATTACCCGAACCGATTTATTAGGACGTACACAAAAGTTAAGCAATTCAAACTAGACACTGACTCAGTTCTAAGGAAAGCCATCTTAGTGAATTTCGAATTCGCAGGTATTCCGGATTCAGAAACGCTGAAAAATCACCTCTCCAGGTCAATCAATAAGACGTTCTTAACTACATAAATTACAAATGATCTTCACCACAGTAAGTCATTACTGATCTCTGTAAAACATACGTGTGATTCATTCCTGAAATACATTTCGAACAATCTGATCAAACATCTACTTGTCAAGTTAATTTATCCGAAGAATAATAAGAATAATTATTACTACATTTGGCTTTGTAATAGGTTCGACGGGATCTATTATGCACGCTGGCTTTTAATTATTGAAAAGGCCAAAAACATGCTCCACCACAAACCTCTAAAGTACACATTTCATATTATACACCAATTTGCCTGTGTTTGGACACATACATATCATATTTTTGATTGCACACTAGTCAGTAACTAGTGTACTGTGTCTAGTCCTATCTTCAATGCAGACTGAATTCTATCAGTCACGCAGACTAGTGTGCAATCAAAAATATCCAATACAGTCCTACAGGAGGTCAATCGCTAGCCTGAATAGCTCAGTGGTAACGTGTCTGACTGTAGTACTGGGTGACGTGGGTTAGAATCTCATAAAGGAATTGAGTTCCTTCAAGGTTGCAGATACGCCTTGCCAACTGTTGAGTAGCAGCTAGCACGAAACCTAGGTCAAGCAAGGCTTCCTTCCGATTATCTCCAACCATCTAATACATACATATCAAGAATTAATCATGCTTTGCATGTGAAGGTGGAAGAGTATATCACTAAATAGTTAGAAAAGTAAATAGAAGCGGATGGTAGACTTTGTCTATAGCTAAAATCTCCTATTCGATATGAACTACAAGATTAATATCAAAACAGAATTAAAGGTTATTTGTAAAAACAGTGAAGAATGCTTGTTAAAATACACTGAGGAGATAGCTGTTCGTAAACTTAAGCCCACCCACCCCTCTTGATGTGTGCAAAGACAATTCATTGTTACTCTTAACCCGCCTTTGCAATGCTTATCTGATTACATAACGAAACTTAATGTTAATTATTCTTATGCCCCTTATTCTTAAGTAGCTTTTGTTACTTTGTGTGTTTCAACTGGCCTTTATATTTCACTTAAATTGACTTGACAAGCAAATGTGTGAACAGATTGTTCAAAATGTTTTAAGCAAATACACGAATCGGTATAAGTTAGAATTAATGAGTTGTCCAATGAATTAGGTCCCAGTGGCTGAATGGTTTACGGACTTCCCTTGTAACCGGAAGGTCCTGGGTTCAAAGCCCAGTGTGTACATGAGTTCTAAACTATGATGAAATAGCTATTCAGTAGTTCAATGCTGGTTTTCATTGGTTCTCTAAATGATATCAATCTATAGTCTGACTCGAAAACAATTCAAATCATTATAAATCAATTCTTGAAAAATATATCACAACATTTATATAATCTCAGTCCTTTTATAACACCATCTGAATCTGTAGAATAGTTCATAAGTTGCATATCTTACGAATTATTCCATATATGACATCGACTGTTTTACCACTTGATAAATAACCATGGTAACAATCGCAAACACTTTAAGTGCACTCTTTATTACTATCATTTTATATATCCAAACCTGTGTCTAAATTTAATTACGAGATATAATTTCTTAAATACCATTTATATACGATTGTGTAGCTTGATGCTCAATTTGTTGAAAAGAATCCCTTCACCGAATATTGTGTTCTTGATATTATGATGTTGCGTCAGTGGCACAACGGTAGAATGATACTAGCCAGCCATGCAAATGGTTTGCGGTTCGATTCTTGGCCACAGATGCACTCCTTAACCTCGCTAAGCCGATAATAAGGCTGGTAAAGAGGGAAGGTTGGACAGGAGGCCAATAACCCCATTGCATAAAAAAATAAACACCACTGCTACCAAGACTTTGAGCCTCTAACTTGAGGTCTCATGCTCCTTGAGGAAAGTAAAAACCGTTACAATGTATATATATATATATTGCTATGGAGCACTTTTTTTCAAATTCCTGTTCCCCAAAATAAATTTAAAGCACAAAATTGTTGTATTTTGATGTATTATGAAAGGATAGTTAATTTGTAGTTCTTAGAATCAAGAACATTCACAGTAAATGAAGTATACAAAAAACAATAATGAAAAACGCACTTGTAATAAACTAATATTTTTCTGGATACTGACGTCACCTAGATTATCTGTTCGTTCAGACGTTCTATTGAAAGCGGCTGAGTTTGCAAATGTTAATTCTTTATAACGTTTCATAAAAGAGAACTGTGGATCAGTTGACTTCAAAAGATTTTTTGTTGTAAGCTGTTCAAATTCTGCATCATTTGGAATCAATGTTACTACAGCATGCCATACGCTAACAACACATAGTATGGCTAGCGACATTAGAACATATTTATCCTAGAGGGTAGAAACAAAGCAAAATAACTTGTAATTTATATGGCAAAGTACAATTATAAAATGAATAATGTGGCAGTTAGCTTCGTAATGTGCACATTGAGATGGTTTAAACGTTTCCTTAACTTAAAAACCATGAGTACAATAAGTGGTATAATTTAAAAGAGTGGTGTTCCTTTACTTATTGCCTACACGCTTAGAATAAAGTTGTACTTATTTGAAAACTGGATGTCCACTGCGATCGATAAAGAAAAACGTTAACAATAATATTTTATTCCTTTGACTTCCCTGTGGAACATAGAGCTTCAATCTAGAGGCTTGAAGTTTCGGTAGCAGTAGTGATTACTTTTACAGGATGGAGTTGCTAGCCTCATGCCCAATCTCCCCTCTTTACCAGTCTTATTACTGGCTTAGCGAGGTAAAGGAATGCGCCTGTGGCCGGGGATCGACCTCTGGACCACATTAGGCGTGGTTGGCAAGCATTCTACTGCTGTGCTACTGACTCACGTTAACAATAATAAAAATAGCTCTATTCTGACCAGAATATTTATGCACAGCACAGAGTTTTCAGCTTGGTTTCATCAACTCCTTATACAGGATCTTCATATGAAATAACAGTCTGCAGTATATTATTAGACGGAATTGTGTTCTATCTGAAACATCCACCAGTTTCCCCTGCATTTCTCCTGTCAGGTGGTATTTTGAAAGCTATTCAAAAATTCAGGTGAGTGCAGATTATTCTCCAAGGAAGTGAATTATCGGTTGCAATGACTTGTAACTGAGTTAAATCTGAATTCTTGTGATCTGTGGGAAATTAGCTATGTTATTCGTTGCAATGACTTCATTCAGTTAATTTTCACCTAATAATATAAATTCAGTTACCGAAGGTCATTCACGCCCCCCGCGCCAGAAATCAGTATTAATAGAAAGATCAATATTAGATGGAAAGGCTACCTTGTCAGAACACCAACAACGACTGACTTAGACCCAGGCAATAACTGGCTAAGAACCATGCTCTTGTTCATACCAAGTAAAATACTGAGTCATGTCGTCGTGGAGAGAATAAAACAAGCACCGGATGCAAATATCCTTTCAAGAAAATCAAATCATGTAGGGAACAAATTACAACTCTAAACTTCGTCATCGAAAGGAGCAAAGAATAGCAGTCAAGTCCCTGTCTCAAAGTTATTGACTCTGAAAATGCCCTGGAAAGCGTTGACCACAATGCTGTTTCATAACCACGTCAACGCTAGTGAATTCAGTGCCCTTAATCCTTAAAAACCTCATTTAAAAGATATATGGCAATGGCAAGTGCCGGGTGGACCATAACGGAAAACACAGAGAAGGCTTTGAAGTGAAGACAGAAGTAAGGGTATCTGCTATCCCCGATGATATTCCTAATTGTGATGGACTGGATTATGAGGAACACCGTCTTTGGAAGCGAGAAAACAGTAAAACTTTGTACCAATATGGAGAATCTAGGAGACCCGGACTTCGTAAATGATTTATGCCTAATGTCACGTAAATTCGAAGACCTACAGGCGAAAACCAACAGGAAGAGATGAACAAGAGGAAAGAATTGGCAATAAGAAACTCTGAAAAAGTAACAACCAAGAATTTATATGACAAAGGAGATGGAGTTAGATACACACTGAGGTGACCGCTGGACGACATTGCACATTAGGCCATCAATTGGAACCTGCTTCCGTCGGTCCCACAGAGTAGATCGTATGAAAAGGAGATGAAAGCTTATAGGTATTCGTGAGACCAGTCAGAGAAGAATACAGAGAGCAAGACAAAACGGAAAAGTGTTGTTTAAGCCCCATGTTCCACTCCGAACCCAAAGGAATAACAATATTATAATAAGGTCGAATGCAGAGAGGCGACAAATGAATTATACTACAGTTTATGAGAAATATCATATAAATTGTTTACGAAATTAACAAATAGGGTGAAAATTGTAGTACCCGCCATCAAAATTGTGTTTTTCTCTCAGTGTTTATGGATTTTTCACAGTTCTCGTGTTGGTAAAATAGATCAAAACAATATCAAAGTGATTACAGCCACAAAGAACAATGACATATGGTATTTGTTGTTTTGCTTGCCAAGCCTCTAATCCTCCACGTCTGTTTTTGAAGATTTCTTCCGACAAAACAACAAGTAAATGATTCAGCAACATTAGTTGACGGGTAAACATATGTCACATGATCGCATCTACTATTCATAGTCTGTTAATTATGCACACACACACAAACACATGACATTTTACATACTAATTCGTGTTAACTGACAACCATGCGCTGGCAGATTATTCAGCCTGCGACATAGTTGATCTCCTGCATGATATATATATATATATATATATATGGACAAAAGTGTATGCACGTTTTGAAATTTTCCTGTAATTACATTGTCATCAAAAAATACACACTTCATGATGGAGTACTGTTTCCTGTCAACATATATGTACACATCTCTCTCGAGTCTTATCAGAATTAGTTCAAAACATAAATATTTTTGATTTTACCGGGGTCTTCAGACAAAACAATACACAGATTATGTATATGACACATTAAAGTCACATAATATTGAACTTTAAAATGGCGAAATAGAGATATTCTGGCAGGAAACTCTTACTTAAGCCAGATATCAAATAAAACAGTGGAGAATTTAAGAACACAGGAGTCTGCAAAGTGATCTCGTTTTGAATCAAGCAAGCACAACAGTTTTTGCAGAATAAAATAGTACCATCACTGCTCATTTCGTCGGTTTCTCATCAGCTGCTCACAGCCCAAAGACATTGTCAAGTGTATCTATAGAAACTATTTGAAAATACTTGTACAGAGTTCATTTTTAAACAAAAATCAATCAGTTGCGGTAGATTGGATAATGTGACAGGAAGAGGGCAGCGTGGAAACATGCATAAAATACACCCTCACGAAAAACTTGGGGGATCTGGACTTCACCGATGATGTATGTCTGATTTCCCACAAAAACTAGAAGATATACAAGTGAAAAGTAACAAGTTGGCAGAAGAAGCATCAAAGATAAGACTTCAGGTGAACATAGAAGAAACAGATGTAGGTGATGAAGATTCCTGGCCAACAGCAGCAGCCACAGCAACAACAATAGACAACAATCAGCATCAATCTGAGGAACCTGAAAGAAACAACCTCCTTTACATACCTGTGAAGCATCGTTTCAACTACAGGCGAATGGAACCGACGAGGATATCAAAGCCAGAATCGGAAAAGCAAGACAGGCTTTCATTACTCTTAAGTCTGTGTGGGGGTCAACATCACTCAGCATCAAAAATAAGATCCGGATTTTCAACTCCAATGGGACATCAGTGCTACTTTATACGGATCACAGACCTGGCGCGTCACGAAGGCCACTTCGAACAAAATACAGACATTCATCAACAGTTGTCTTCGCTCAACACTCAACATCAGATAGCCGGCCAGAAAAAATTAGCAACAGGGATCCCTGCGAGTGAACCAACCGAACAGGAACTGATTATGCAACAAATATGCAAGAAGGAATGGAGATGGATTGGCCATACTCGGAGGAAACCATCAAGTAACATCACCACACAAGCCATTGCTCGAGTGGAACCATAAAGGGAAGCGGCGAGTTGGTCGTCTGTGCAAGGGTGATTTGGAGGAGGTCATGTGAAGAGGAGATGAAAGCATGTGGACAGACCTAGAGCAGACCTAGCAGATGACCGTAGGCAATGGAGGCGTGCAGCTGAGGCCCTATGTTCCTCTAAGAATTGAAGGAAATAATAATTATACAATAATATTATATATAATAATTATAAACAATTTACCGAAAGCCTACATGGAAAGGACAATACCTACATTTCAATAGTTTTTGTCCCTATAGCCTTAAAAAAGGACTAGTCAAAACTATATACTATAGAATCAGGAGATTATGCTCTACAGAGAAATTAGAGGAAGAATTCATGTTTCTCAAAAGGATGTTGAAAAAGCAACGGTTACCCTCAAAAGTTCGTCAAAAAAATACTGAAGATCTAAAGGTTCAGATGTCAAGCTAATCACAGTGGAAAAAAGCCCATCTACATTCAACTTGATTTTAAAAGTAAACATATTGTAGAAATGTTCAACAGAAGATTGAGGACGTCACCAGGTGGTTCCTGTTTATCGAACAAACTGCTCTTTGGTGCAATCAACAATTGACAGATATCCTTCTATTGCTAACTCCTAATGTATATACAAATTTATATGTATCTGCGGGAGCAGTTACATTGAAAGAAGACAAAGAAGGGCTTACCTATGATTTTCTGAACATGTGACAAAAAGCCTATCTCTAGAGGGAATAAATACTTTAGACAATGCCATAGTCAGGCGTCTCTTTGACATTGGTCATGATGTGGACGTTGCAAGATCGTTCAAAGTTATCAGTGGGCAAAAGGCTTCAGTTCTCCTTTATTTTGCCGAAGAAATCTCCATCAAGCCCGCAAAACCCGAGTTATGCATTCAGATAGAAGCAGTTACCAATATTTCCTTGCCCTGGTAATTGGATATTTTCATTAACTCTCTTTCATATGATTACGTAATACCGAAAGTTTTCATTTCATATGATCGTTATTGTTCATGATATAGTGTTTGTTAATATATTTATTATTATTGTACGTATATATTTATTGATTGATTTTTGTTTAAAAATGAACTCTGTACAAGTATTTTCAAATAGTTCCTATAGATACACTTGACAATGTCTTTGGGCTGTGAACAGCTGATGAGAAACCCACGAAATGAGCAGTGATGGTACCATTTTCTTCTGTAAAAAAATTTTACTCTTGCTTTACTCAAATTCGTTAAGGGGAATAAACGTATGATATATCTTTTTGTTACTTCACTTCAAAGCTCTACAGTTATTTAAGGGTTTTATAAATGCCCTGTGGACTTACAACATAAGTCAAAGATTATTCTTAGTTTGTAACAAAGTAAATCAAAGTGTTTGAGCAATGACAGTGTTTG